GGGGAAGGATGGGTGATTTGTTGCTGGGGCTTTTTTTTTTTTGGGGGGGGGGGGAGAGGCGGGAGGCGAGAGGTTTAAACGAATACACGTAGGTTTTGGTAGTTAGCTGCTTTTTGTTCTTGCACGGATCGCTCACTTGCTCACTCTCCAACTACCGCGACTTTTCTTGTCCCTCTTTCCTTGACATTTTGACAAAACAAAAAACAGAGAATGCTATTTCTCCTAACTTGCCTGTGCAGTTTGGTGGCTGCTCTTGTTCTGTTTGATTGTAAGTCTCCTACAGGGGTAATGACATCGTACTGTACCTGCTTTTACAGAGCTGTAGATCAATTTGCAACAACATTTTACTTTTAAAGGAAGATACTGATTTCTAAGCAAAGACCTTTAAGTCCATGTTTAGCCTAGAGTTAGTTCTGATACCTTAATTCTAAAGCTTTGGTAACAAGAATTAGCCTTCTTAGTAATAATAAATGAGCTTTGGTATGCAAATTAGTGCATTCCTTGAAAAGCAGAAAAAAACCCCCAACCTGTAAAACTTGGGAGCTCTGTAGATGTTTATTCTTGTAAGTAATGTCAAGTTCCAACTTCTTGTTTTAGACAAGGACTCCCAAAACATGCCTTGCGGCATCATCCACTGCCTGAGGTGTGCCCAGCCACACCTGCGACTGAAAAGGATGGCCAGATCTCAAGGTACTTGTCATCACATAAAATGAATCTTTGTCTGGAGACAATGGCAAACGCAGGCACCTTTGCGTTACCTTTACAGAAGTGATGCAGTTGGTAGGCTTAGGCTTTACCTCAGGTCTGTATCAGTGCAGAACATGTCCCTCCTATTCTGGAAATAATAAAAAGTGTGTAGCTGTGTTCTGTTCCCAGCTCACAAATAGCCCAGGTCATCTAATTTTAAGGTAGAAACAAGAGGAGAAAAGATAAAAATAATTCCCGAGTGGTGTAGAACCGGGACTAGAAATAGTCTGCAGTTTAACTGAGATAATTTTTAGAAAATCTGCGTTTTGCTTGACCTCTAGACTTCTTTTGTCATTGAGATTATTAGGAGTTACAGTTGTTACAATTACTTGTGTACTATGGCTTCTGCTTAAGTGCCTCTGAAGTAAATATTTACTCTATGAACACTCTTATAATAGCTAAGACCTCTTCTGATAGATCTATGCTTTTCTGTACAGAAAGAAAAGTTTACTTACCCACTTTATTTGTCATTGTGTATTGTTGGGGTTTTTTGCTTCCTTTTTTTCCTCAACATGTGCGCTTCAGGGAGTCTGAAATCTGGAAGGAATCAGATCACCCTTCTGTTACTCCAGCTGATCATGGGAATTCATGGTCTCCTAGTCAGAGTTACGCCAACACCTCCACTGAAGACAGCTCAGTCTTCTCTTGGGGCTATGATGTGAGTAGCATGTAATCATCCAAACTAAATGTAGCACAGTGAGTAGAAGGACATTTGAAATACCATTGCAAATATATTTCAGGATAAAAATGAGGATTGGATCTGTCAATAAATCATAACAGTAGTTATATACAGAACATCTTTTTTACCTCTTTGCCATCTTTCTCTCAGATCAAAACATATTAGGCTCATATTATTCAATAAATATTCTGCATCCCCATCTAAAACTTTGGAAATCCAAATCATTTAATGCCTAAGTGTGTCTATACAACATAATAAATGCTGTTATTGTGGAATCCCAAACATGAGCGGATGACTTTCAGACACTTGGTGTGAGTTTATCTAACTTCTGCATACTTACGTGTTTCTCAAAATATGGTAAGCCCCTAAAACATTATTTTCATTTAGAAATACTTGTTTTATTCTCCGTCTACCAAAACAAAGCATGCTGTTGCTTTCTGTGAGGCGAGGTGGAACTGTTTACATTTACATTACCCAAGAACTGACCCCATTTTCTAGCTACACGAGAACAGGTAACAAAGGTCCTGAGCATCCTTCACTTTCACAGTGTTTCACACCGGTCTGCATTGCTTTTTGTTTTGCTGTTGTCTGTGGACGTTGCAGGCAACAAATTTTCCATTTCATTAAAATGTCACTGAATTTTATCCCTCCTGTTCTGATTTCTTTGATGTAAAGTACTATGTCTTTAACTTAATATAATAATACAGATATTTCAAAATGTTTTAACAGTTTTTCTGTTGTGTCAATGTAAGCTTTTTACATAGCTACCATCAGTCTTAACAGCAGTCTGTGTCATCTCCGGGGGGAAGTTATTTAAAGTTAACGTCTTTCTGTGCAAAAGAAATAGAACTGTTTAAATCAGTCCCCGCTAAGCTTTAAACAAATAGTTGTCTTTTTCAATTATAAAAAAATTCAATTAAAAAAACCCTCCGAATGCTATTCACTAGGTATTGATTGGATAACTTTCCTTTCTAGGAATTTGATAAAGCTGCCACACAACAAGTTCAGCAAATGTTCAGACAAATTGATGAGCTTCTCTATGAGCAGAAAGAAAATGTGCATGTTGAGGGACTGCGGGAAGAATGCCACCAGTGGACATCCAACTTTCTTCATCTCAGGTATTTTGTTAATCAACTAATGCTAGTACCATCACAGAGTTATAAAAGGGTAGGGATGGAAACAGTTGCTTTTAAAACAATGATAGTAGCAGGGTGGTTTTATGCAATTATATAGTAGACAGAGATAAAAACATTGCTCTGGTAGCCTGCCTGCCATTGTCATTAATAAACATTTTGCCATCTCACATTTGGTTCCTTGCCAGAGGATTATTGCTATTTGCAACTGACTTGGCCTTAACATATCAAAATTCTCTTAGAAAAGATGTATGGTGTAGCTAAAAGCCATGTGCTTAAAATAATTTAAAAATCCTCCTACCCTAGTTGAGCAGTCCTTATGGCCATCTGTAAACTTAAATTTTAAATCTTCATTATGTGTACTTGAACAGTTTTGTCCATATTCAAAAGTCTTACAGTTAGCAGAGCATAAAAAAACCCAGCAAAATTTTCCTAATGTATTTACCTGACTCAAAGCAATCTGTACTGGGGAAAACTCCTGCAAGCACGTTTAACTATCACCAAGAAAACTGCATAGCTTCCTTAACAGAATTTATAGGATTTGCTGCTGTGTGTTCTTACACACTTCAATAATCCTACTTTCAACATTTTCTGATTTATTTATCCTTTGCTTTTGCCATGGCAGGGTTGTGGGGAAGCAGATAGTGATCCCCACAGATGAAGGGTATGGATGGTATTCAGGCTCACCTTCTGGCAGTTTAGGTTCCTCAGATGCAAGTTCACCACAAGAAAAAGATTCTAATGAGTAAGTACCAGCGGTTAACCCAGACCGTACCAAGGTGGGAAGGTAATTTTGTTCTCAGTGGACTGCAGTGATAGGCTTCTTAAAATGTGAAGCCTAACTCCTTTCTGTTAGGCTGAGTTTTGAACACAGCACACTTTTTTTTTTCCCCCTTTTTTAACTAGTAGTAGCACATTCAGAATAGCAACACTACATAGCTGGGCTTATTGCTAACTACAGTAAACTGGTCAGTAAACAGAAATACCTTTGCTGCTGCTGACTTCTTAAGAATATGTATGTATTGCAGCTGGGTTTATTGTTAATAATTATTAAATTTGTGTAGAACTTAATACAAAGCACTACATTAGTACTACTTTTATCATTTAATGTTTTAGAATGTTTTTTTAATTAGCTTTGATTTTTTTTCTGAAGTTTCAAGTTCCTTAGCAAGAATTAAAAATATCCAAACTAAAAAGAGTTTTTACTGTAACCTGTAATTTGTTGGCCTCCCTGCTGCTTGGCCTTAACTACCATGTTGTCTCTCAGTTCACCAAATACTGCTATTTGAAGTGGAGTAACAACTTATTTTCATTTCTGCTTTCTGAAAACTGTCACCTGTTCAGATTTAGTGTTTTTGGCAAGAAGGTACCTCTTTCTGTTACTCCCGTTCACAAAAAGGCTGACCGTTCCAAGTCTCCGACCTTGTGTTCTCCAGAGAGCGAAGAAGGTGAAGATGGAGTAATTGTCTCTGAAGGCGTAATGGAGGAATATTTAGCATTTGACCGCAGAGATGTGTAGGTATTGAATATTAAGATAGCAACTAGTAACAGTATCCTGGAATTCCTGCTGTTGACATATATATTTGGTTTTGATAAAGTATTTGATGAATTTATTTTTTTTATATATTTCCTCTAGAGAACTTTCAAAGGCCTGAGGTTGCTAGGGCACTGCGAATTCTCCCAATCCATTTCCTAGAACAATTTATTTTGCTAAATTATTTTTCTCAAATTTCTGTAATTTTTCATACTAGCCATTTTTGTGCCTGGTTTAAATAGTTCATTCCGTCATAACTAAGAGCCTGCTATGTATTGGCATTTAATAAAACTTGTTTAAATGCCATTTATTTTTTATATTAAGTCAAATTCATTGTTGTTTGTTATGCACCAGCAGTGTGCTGCTTTCATTTTGTACTAGCATTTTGGGTGGAATTGTACCTTTCCAGATTTTCAGTGGTAATTTAATTATTAAAAGTGGATTTGATGCTTGGCAAGAAATAATTACTGCTATTTTTATCTTAAGAAGAAAGGATTAAAGGTGGCATAAAGAGGATCCTTTTTCCCCTTTACTTTATTCAACCCAACAATATGAACATATGGCCTGGGTAAGGACTCTGGATGGTGCTATCAGTTGCTAACTACTCAACTGGTTTTAATAAATAAAGCCACTTAGCTGCATGGACCATGAGATTCAAATTGATAGGTGGCTTGCTTTGACCGGGCCAGAGAGACGTTGCTGCAGCAAACAGTATTGCTGTCTCTGTAAAATAATGGTAGAAGTATTATAGCTTTTTCTAGTGGTATCTCCTTTTTTCCAAGGTTTGTAGCTTTTTGATGTTAAGTACTAATTCAGGGAGCAGATATGAAAGCCATAATAAATGTTCTTGTATCAGTGTTATTTTGTCCCTTCTGTAACATTTCTTTTGGCAGATGAACATAAACTTTTTTCAGCAGTTGTCTTCCAGGTTTCACACTTCAGAATACCTCTTGCATTGTGGAAGAGTCTGCAGCAAAGGCCACTTGCTGCTGTGAATTACAGTTTTTCTCCCCTCTCACTGAGTACATCTAAGTGTCTAAAACTGAATTAAGCCTGTGCCCTGAACACCTCCTGGCTGTTAGAGCAGCAGGCTGAGAGTGGCATTAAACAGTCATGAGTAGTAACATTCCTTCCTCTTGTCTTCAGAATTCTGCAGTGACATTAGATATGGAGTCTAACAATGTGATGAACAAATATCACTGTAACTATTAATATTTATTTTTAAATGGAACTTTGATCTCCTTGGTAAATTACTTGTTATTCATGAAGTATCATTTATAGTCATTCTGTACAGGGAAGCCAAGGTGTGCAGTAATAACGTGATTGTCTCAGTCATTTTGCATTTAGGTCAGTGGTAGATACTGGAAGAAATAAAAGTTCAAGTGCCCAATGTACAGAAGCTTGCTTCTTTCAGTATTAGACTGTTATTTGATATTGGTGTTTATTAAACTATCAGCTCTCAGAAAAAAATTATTGTGTGATAAATACAGAACTTCTCCTGAAGTAATGTCTTCAAGCTGTTCGGTTAGCTGCCTTGACCTATTTCAGTTTAAGAGAAAACAGAACAGAAATGCAGCCTTAGCTGATGTTTTAATCCTATTAAATAAATGCAACAAAATATAGTAGACAAAGAAAATGTTTGTGGTACAAGTAATGCTTACATTTTTACAGCGAGGAGGAGTTGCATGAGAGGAAAATGGGACTGTCCTCTGGTAGATGGAAATTGGGGTTTCCTCCTATTTCTCCATCTTCCTGCATGAAGGATTCTGTGCTGACATTTGTGTTTGATGACGTGTGGAGTGAAGTCCTAGGCTGCATGGAAGAATTAATCTGCAGACACTGGGAAGGGTCAGCCTCTGGTAAGGATCACAGTTAAACTGCAGATTCAAAAGGGGATTTCAGTTAATTTTGCAAGGATGCAACAAGAGAGAGATGTATTTGGGAATAATCTCTTTGGGGTGGGGAAGGTTATTTTGTTAAGTGTGAGACATGCCTTCAGAAGACTTAGTAGAGCTTAGCATCTAAGAGGACTCTCTTTAAAAAATTTGGATTAATAGCACTGTCCACAACTAGCAATGCCAACAGTCTGTATTTACAGGAATTCTCTCCTGCTTTGCATAGATGATGAGAAAAATATCGTAACAGTAGAAACAATCAGAGCAGATGCTGGAAGCCCTTTGCAGTTTGATCCTCTGCCAGCATTGTTACCTCGTATGCCACAAACTAAAATGCCCTCAGTGACATCAAACCTGGTAAGTATTTTTAGCCAGCTGGTTTGCATAGGGACAAATCAATACAGTGCTACTTAAGCAAACATATCAGTACATCAGGGGCCTGTTTAGATACGTAACTAGTTTGGATTTTGTATGAATGCTGACTGTCCTTTCTAACACTTAAGTTCTGTTATTCCTCAGTTGCAAGTTTTAATTCCTACTTTTCTCTTTAAAATTAATATTTTATATATGTATTGGACAACCACGTGGTTATTGTTTGTTAATGATGTAGTTCTTTCTACATTTCAATAACATTTAAACTAAATTGTGAGATCCTATTCTCACTAGCTTACCTATAGCTAAGTCATCAGGCAATAGAGGACAAATCTCAGCACAGTTGTAAAACAGTTTTCTTTTCTCAGACACTGAAGTTGACTGTGTAATCCACTCCTAGAGTGGTAAGCACCAAAGCATTATCTGTTTATTCCATTTTAATTCAACTCTTTCCTTCTTATTTATTTTTATTTCTTTCTCCTTTATTTCTACCCCTGCCTCTTCCTCATGTTCCCCTTACTCTATGTGTAGTGCCCAAAACCCAGATGTGGCCGCAAAAGCAAAAAGAGGAGAAAAACACCTCAAGTATGTATGCTGGAGAGATTAAAACTCTGGTATTTTCTATTTGCTGTCGTTACGGTGGGTGGAATTCAATGTTTTTCCAGATCAGTCTGTATTCCAGGAAAGGAGTTTGCAGTTCTGTTCTTGACATAAAATGCCAACATACACTGAAGATCAGTTTTGTAAAGCTTCTGATTATAGCCATTGTTGGAAGATCCTGTCATGCAAATGAGAAGCTCAGTTGGAAAATACTAAGTATGACATAGCATGGTAGGAAACATTTTCTAAGCACTACCATTTGCAAGAAAAATGGAATACTAAGATGCCTATCTTAGATGGAGAAATAATATAACTGAGTATACACCTGGATATCATAGAAGAAATTAATGTTTCCTCCAAAATTACTTACAAGATCAGAATGTGTAAATATGTGTACACGTCACTGCCAAACAGTAATTTACTTATTTATTTTTTAAACTTTCAGGTAAATCTCTCTCAAGGGTCAAGTACTGGCTCTCAGCGTAATCTAAATAGCTTGATGGTGATACACGGGATCCAGTTACAGCAAAGGAATCTGCCTGTAACAGAGAAAATACTGTAAGAACTATGGCTTGTCTGTTTTAGAGCAGAGCACTCTCGCAGTGAGAGGGATCCAACCCAAAATATTGTGAGATAATTTTCTACACTGGACAAAGCAATTCTCAATTATTTTACTGCTTGTTTGTTTATTTGTTTGTACTGTATGAAACAGTATACTGCTATTACAGGTTTTCTGTTTGATTGGTGCTGGCTTACCACTTAGTGAGTGGCTGTGGCATTACTGTTGGCACTGACATTCTGAAAAGAGATGAAGCTCAGAATGGGATGGAGAAACTGATTTGCTCAGTTCCTAGAAGAGGACTTTTGTTAGATCTAGGCTATGGGTGTGAAAACTGTTGGTTACAGTATGTTGTTTTTTTAATCCATTCTATGATTAATTTTTACTTTTATACTGGAATCTTCAATCAGAAAGTTCATAGTTCAATTAAAAAAAAAGCCTTCTTTTTTCTTCTCCATCCCCTATTCTTTTCTAATTTTGCTGTAAATTACTTTATATAGTTATGTAAAAAAATGAAAACAAGTTATCCCTATCCATACATAATATTATTCATGTCAGATGTAGATAGATGAGTACTGTGGTAACAGGATAGTTATCTGCCATGTTGACCATATCTCATTTGGTTTTGTAATTCTTTTGTTAGGGATGTGGATGACAAACGGCCAGGCTCCAGTTCCATCCTCTCTAACAGAGTGTGGCCAAATCGTCCTCTAGAGCTCAGCACATCATCCCTATCGCATTCCACAAGAAGGCGAAACCCACCACCACGTACCCTGCATCCCATCAACACAAGCCACTCTCGTACTGGGACCCCAGGGTCTGTGGACGATGTCTTCAGGGGAACTCGACTGTATGTTTCAAAACCAGTTTCTCCCTACAAGTTACCATATTTAGAGAACCCAGCTTATACAAAAAGCATTCAGTTGAACAGAAAGAACATGAATTATTGAAGAAATTATCTGCCTGTTAAAACACAATCTCACCTGAGAAAGCAGAGTTGCTAAAGTTGATGTTTGCTATGCTATGAAGTGTGATTCAATGAATCACTTACATAATTAGGTACTTTTGCACACAAACTATAGACCTCAGTCTGTCCAGCAAATACAACCATCTCTTTCTTGACATCAGCTTTCTTTTTCTATAGCCTATTTCCAAGATTAACTTAAAAGTCTACAGTTTTTGGAGGTCAAACTGCCTGTTGCTATCCTAGCCCAGACTGGGGTATAAAGAAGGTGCTCCTTTTACATAGGTTATGACTGACCAAAGGACTCTTAATGAACTCAGTGAATGCAGAATCACATCTAGAATATCTTATTTTTGTTTGGCATAATGATCTGACTGAATGTAGTCATTTACAGGGACCACAGGGTATTAGGAAACAATGCAGGGTTTCATATACTTGTATATTCCATGTATTGTAAATTGACATGGTTTCCTTTTAGGTTTGCAGTTTAACTATAAACTCTAGCCTGTTGGTTTTTTGTCATGTACTAGTTAGAGACTTGTTCCTTGTCCCTTCCAGTATTTTATGCTTCTGATCCCTTTCTTCAGGCTTTGATCAATTTTACAATTGTTAACATCTCCCCTTTATTACCATTTATGTTTAAATGTACATAGAGAGCACTAGGAAAGTCTTTTTTAAAATGCTGATTATAGTTTGAAGCTTTTCTAAAGTATTCTTACAGAACATCCTTCCTTCAGTCAACTCCAGAACATGTATAGAGCTAAGGCCTCTTGCTCATTCTAGTACTTTTCAAACATATAGTAATATACAGACACCTTTCATGTGAAAAGGCTCTACCTAGAAAACAGAATACTTTTCCTTTTACATTCCTTCTATGACTAATGCTTAATTAATTTTGTATTTTGTGCAATTAGATTGGTTTAGCTCATTTTAAAAGGCTTCTAAAAGCACCTTGCACCTGTTCCTTCAAATACTCAAACAAAATATGGAGAAAGTAGAAGCCTTGTTTTGCCTCCAAGACATTTTATTTGACAGTTGTATTATGTAAAAGAGCTACAGTATGCATTTGCGTTATGTAGCTTTTTTAGTTGCTCTGCTTAAAATATGGCCCACTGCTGTTTTCTAGGCTTGCTGTTTATCTTCAACTGCTAGGCTGAAGTTAGCAGTAAGCAGTACTTCATCCTAAAGGTTATGAACAAAGAACAGAAAATAATGCTATGTCTGGGAACGGGCAGACAAGATTCTACCATTGTATGGTAACTGTCCATAAAGACGCCTTTATATATATGCACCTTTATTCTGCAGTACCAGCTGCACAGCATACTTCTTCAAAATGCACCAAATGAGGTGCTTTTCAATCACAACTAGTTTTTACATACACCCATTACCAGGATTTCTGCTGGGGTACTCATTCTCAGACTTGCTTTGCCTACATGCTTAATATTAAACGTTCTGAAAACTAGAAGTTCCTGTTAATAGATGAAAAAGATTTCTACCAAACTTCACCTGCTGCAGAACTCCTTTTAAGTCATATCTCTAATCGCCTTAACACCACCATCTTGTAGCAAAATTCTGCAACTATTGCTTTTAGTTTTAACATTGTTTGTCTACCTAATGCCAAACTGACAACTTTGTATGTTTATACAATGTCAAACATATAAACTTTGTTTTTTCTGTTCTTTTGGTGCATTTCAGTCTGACTGCACATGAGCAGCTGACCTCGCCCTCCCCACTGCCACTAAGCCGAAATAATCTCCTACCACCTATTACTACCACCAACACGGCAGAGCACACAAGCACTGCAGGATCCCAAAGGCAAACGGTAATAGGCACAATTTTAATATTGGATAGCCTAAAATTGTAGTCGCTGCTGATCAAATTACCTAACCCGAGAGTTCCAATTTGTTTGTCATCTTGTAAGTGGTAGCAACTGAAAGAGACGCACAAAAAATGCCATATCAACTTTGACTACCAGTATCCCCTATAGTTGAATGCTTTAATTCCAATTAATGCCAGAATTTTCTTCCTCCCCATAACTAGATATAGAACGATTGACTTGGAAAATTAGCTTTAATTCCTAGGCTAATTACTTTAAATGTACTGCTGCAATAAGAAGTAGTCATAACTGTTATTCTTCAATGCAGAAATCTCGAGGGAACTCAAGTCGAGCTCACAGTGTAACAACACATGAAGATACCCACCAGCAGCTACAGGAGCGGCTTTTCTTACCTGATCATTTCTCCAGGCCTAACACAACCAACGCATTCTTGGTAAAGCATGGCAAATTATACCAAATCATCCTTAGTTACTCAATAGTGTGCTTTGACAATTAACATAAGTAAACATTACTCTAGAACTAGATGTCATAGATAGGTGATTGGTACCAGGGGGTTCATCAAGTTTGCCATTTGATTAAATACCCACAGGTTAGTAGAAACATCATTGCTTGGCACTTCTGAAACAAATGGGGCAAGTCAGTTGTTCACAGATAGCGATCTTGCTACACTCCCCACAGCCTCCCTATAAGCAGCTGGTAGTACTACACTTTTCTTGAAGACTCCCAAGTTTGAGATGCTTGGGGGAAAAGCTAAGTGTTACTCTAGGTATAACATTTGAACTATCATCTGCACTGGTAATCTAGCATCTTCTGTGAAGGCTTAAGAACTGTGGGGTAGGAGAGGATGCTTTAAAGTTTGGTATAGACATTAAGAAGTCATTTCTGCAGCTGTATTCAGAAGCACAAGGGCAGGATAGTCTTCATTGCTTTCTTGCACAAGTTTGCTGTACTATTAATGTCCAGTCTGTTTCAGTATCAAATACTCTTGGTTTAATTTATTGAAACATGAAACCAATATCTTGTCCTATCAAACAAGTATTTTTAGCTAAGCTTTAAATGCTGTAATTTCAACAATTGCTTTTAAATAGCTGCTTGTTTGGTTTCTGTATATAATTTCAACATCCTTGACTTTGCAGTTACAAGTGTACAAACTTTGCAAAGTCTGTTTTGAAACAGAACAATTTTCAGAAGTGGCGAGAATGATCACTGGGCCAGGTGAAGGCACTCTAAATAAGAGTGTTATAGAAGTATATTTTCTACTCCTAAAGTTGATTTAACCCTCCTTAAACTCATAAAAGCTCTTAGACCATTACAACATATTACAAATTAGGTAATACATGCTTCAGTAGTTTATAACTGTATTATAATCTTGATGTTTAAAATTCTTTTCATGCAAAGATAAATAACTTGAACTGTCTTTTCAGCCAGATCCACAGCATCACCGTTCGTGCACTGTTATTGATTATACTAATCAATCTTGGACAAGCAGAGGATCAGCAGGTCCAGGTATGCTGATCAGTCATAGAATTTAATAAGATCAAGCAAGAGGTAGGCTTTTGGGACCAGGATGCATTGCCTACGTAGGTAATTACATTGAGGAGGTTTTTCGAAGTTCTATTTAACGTTTTAAAATTTCCATTATACAAGTTTCATACTTGCATATAGAGTATGTTTGGGTGTGGTTTTTTTACTACCACTTAGTATTTTAACATCATTTAAGGAAACTTAATGCAATCAGCCACAATACCCCTCATGTCAAAGTTAAGCACAGGAGTTGCCAATTTAAACAGGAACTAGCAACAACTACTTTCTGTCCAAGGATTTTTCTTCTGCTCAGCTATACAACTGAAAGAAATTGCATTATGTCCAAAAGAAACTTACTTGCACTGTATCTGGAAGAGATTGTACTAGATCTGCACTAGATCTTAGATTTGCAGTAGATCAACTCAAAATATATTTTAAAGCTAGTAACTGTACCAGTACAACTCACATGCATGCTCCAAAATCAATATATGCTTGTACTGTTTAATTAGTAACAACTGGATGAACTTTGTAGTGTTACTTAGATGAAATTACTTTTGGGTTATGCTAAAATTACTTATTTTTAATTGATCAAAGTACCAAGGCAGCAGGAAGGCATTTTTATTATGCATGTCATGCATACCCTTTCCTCCAGTTTTGCTTCTTTCACTGCAAAGTCATCTCCTTAAATTGCTTATGGTTAATAGACTTAGAAAATAGTATATGCTTCAAAATAGCTATGTAGTCACAACCAGGGTTGTGGTTCTTTTTTAATAGTAGGAAGCTACAAGACTAAGTTGCACACTTGTGTACACAAGCGTTACAGGAAACCAATTAACCTTACTTGTTTCAACTTTACCTTCAGAGATTTAGGTTTCTCACCTCATGGCACACACAAGGTCTAGTCTAATCAGTTGGGAGGGATTTTGTTCAGAGATTACAGTAGAGCAAAAGTTAACTTTTGTGCCCTAGAACAGCTTTTTTGAATGCCATCTTTATAGCTCTCACCTGAGTTGACCTGGAGCACTCCCTGTTAACTTTGTATTGATGCTAAGTATCACCTCCACCTGGAAAGGGTGGCACAGAGAGGGGATTGGATGCACTTGCTGAAAACTAGGGTCTGTCAAGACAAGTTACACTGGATTCCTTTCATCACAGGGTTTTGGGATTCCTTATGGAGTTGTCAGAATTTCCCCACATAAAAATATACTAACAAGATAGGACTGAAGCTGCAAAAGTTAATGGAAGATGCAACGGTTAAGGTAGCAAGCACATGGGTGATTATTAGGGGTCAGGAGGGGTCTTTCAGCTTGTTTAATAACTGAATGGCCTGCTACCACTAAGTGGTACAAGAGGTAGCTTGAGTTTAACAAAGGCACTAACCTGAAATAACTTGGTTTTAAACAAGAAACGATTGGTTCCTACTGAAAAATAAGTATCTGCTTCTCCTCTTCCCCCCCCCCCAAAAAGCCCCAGTATCTTTAAATGCAGGATGAGTTTTATGACCGCTGTATTAACAAAAAAAAAAAAAAATTTGAAATCAGCAGAAGAACTTTGTAGACTTCATGTCTACATGTATATTTTGTGAAATATCGAGGAATACAGTAGTTCCCTGCAATGCAGCAACTATGAAAGCACAAACTTTGCCCCTTTTGGGAAGGCCAGTCACATGTCTCAAACATGCATACGTTAAACACAGTGCAGTTGATAGCCACATATTAAAATAAAAAGCATTTTAGTTTTAAGCTAAAGGAGATTTATTTGGTACTTAGTTTTAATACCTGCCAGAATTTTTAAAGTTGTACATGATCTCTATTTATTAGGTCTTCAGCTGCATGGTTCTGTGAAACCCCACAGTCGAAGTGGATCAGTCACAAAAAGCAAAAGGGGTTCTGACATGCCATGAAGAAGTATCCATCCATCTCCAGAGAGTCATGAACCACCTCTCATTCTCAGCAACGTCAACATTGTTTACAGAGAGTTTTCAAACACCCTTCTTCATGAATAGTTATTTTTATAAGTCTAAGAAGCAGCTGCCAAAGATTAGAAGGGGTATACTCAAACATTCCATTTTCTACTAGTAAAAAAAGTTATATTCCAGTGGGCAGTAAAGCCTAACACCTAGAAAATCTAGCAAACATTCTCAGTCATTGCTGTTTTCCCATTACTGGCTTGTGACTGGTTCATGTTGTTACAGGCAGGTGCTGCAGAACCTGCTGGTTTTTTCATTAGCTCTACAGAAGATTAATCAGGCCTTCCACAGTGGCAGTAATTTAATTTTTTAAAACTATATTTATATGTTTAAAGCAATATTATGCTATCAGAAGCAAGCACTGCACATGATACTGCTTCTACAACTCAACTTAGACAAGTTATGAATCCTGTAGTAAATGCAGCAGATATTAACACAGTTGTGTAAAAATAAGGTAGCAAACCAGATGAACAGAATTGACCACTTAGCAGTAGCACACCACTGACTTGTCCTGTATTATATACTTATACCTCTTCCTTGGTGGCTGAAGAAGGTTTAAGAGGCAAAAAGGAGTCTCTTCCTACAAGTCATTCCAGACAGTATTCAAAGAAAGTACATTATTTTCCTGGTGAGATATTTTATGGTAATTTCATGGAATAGGTTAGTCTCCCTTTCTAACAATACCTGCAGTTACATAAGATTTCTGTACTCCACCATGAAGTTCCACAACCCACAGATGCAATGTAGCTTTTAGGAGATGTGTTCTGCACTGTGTGACAACATACCAGAGGTATTAGCTCTAGTTGTCCTTGTGGCTCCAAATACAGCAAAAACATGAAGTACAAGCTTCTCAGAATAAACTATTAGTTGAAAGTCTTACTCCCAAACAGAAAGTGCCAGACTGCAAGTAAGTGTAAAGACAAGGTGAGGATAACCACTTACTGTATTTTAACAACGTTAGGATACCACACAAAACCAGTTGTTCCCTTATAATCCAATTACAGAGCACTTTTTCCTAAATTTCCTTATTAATGTTTTCCAAATTACAATTCATAATGGGAAAGACTTGTCAGTATTCTTTATGAAGTGGCTCCCCTATTTCCCCACTCTGAGTTATGCAAGCTAAGTTATGCCAGTCCAGTTGATCCAAGCATGCTGTAATCAAAAAGAAGGGAAAAGAAGCCAAAGCAGAATTGTGCAAATGTAACTGGGTTAACTTTCCTTTGCATTTCTAGAGGGTAAAAGCAGCTATTGTCTCAATCTACTTAAGTTTGCATAGAGATAAATTGATGCTAAAGGGAGGCCTCTATTCACTAAACCCTTTCAAAAATAGAATTTCTCTTAACAGTTAAAGACTACTGGAACATTGTACAGTGTGTCATTTAGTTATGTCAAGCTACCTGGAGATAAGCGTCCCGTTTCTATCAGTGCCATTCCTCAGGGACCAAATTAGTTTTCTGTAGCCCTAGTGCATAAGGCTCACAAAAACATACAAATAAACTAGAAGAGACTTCTAGAAACAATGTATTATTTTATAGCTTAGAGTAGTCAGTGTGTTAAAAAAGTGAAAGCAGTCTCATAAGGTAATTTTTGGTTTCTGTACAAGTGGTTGACACCAGAGCCTTCTCCTTGGCTGTTAGATAACTATTTTGTACAGTAAAAGTAATGTTCAGGCCACATGTTATGCAACGTAAGGACATGCTGTACTCTCTCAGCATCAGGATAATTTTTGAAAGTAGCCAAGTAAAAGGGAACAGAGTTACCGTCTACCTCTAGCTTCCCCCCAGGAAGCTCTATTAAATAGTTAGTTCCTGAATGCTATCAGTGAGGCAATGAGGACCTTCAACTCAAAAGTAAGTGTTCACCCTCTGGCTCATAAGCCTTTGAAAAATGATCCACAAGATAAAGCCAGGCTCATTCCTTTGAGCTATAGTAAGTTGAAAACTAGTTACCCTTCAAATTTATACCTTTGCACACTATGTCAAATAGTTTAAAAACAGCTGAAGCAAAAAACTTCAAAGTATTTGCACATCTTACAGAAACAATTTGCTTCTGAAATAACAGAAGTGTTGACAAATACAATGAAGTAGCTAATCACTACCATCCTACAGCAGACTTGACGGTGATGCTATTGAAATAACATGCAATACATTTCTAAGCTTTGGAACTCCTTGTCATGTGACATCACAAACCCTAGAAATACAGAGGACCAACTCTGTTCTGTGGATTTTTAAGTTTATTACTTCACCTCAGTGTGTTAGAGAATTTCTGCATAGTCATATACATGCTGCAGTCTCATATTCTTCCCAAGGCATGTGCCACAGACAGTCAAAGACTGAACACTAGGTGGCCCTTTCATCTAATGCAGCATCACCAGCACATATGCCACAGTTAACAATATAGCCATATTTTCAGCTGCTATAGAAGTATGTAGTATTTACTTGACTTAACAGTCAGAAGAGTCAACGTGATCAGTTTGTTTTGAACAGCTACTTAGAAAACAGAGAGGACTGGAGAAGCAACATAGCACAGAATTCTGCAAGAACTCTTCATTTATTAAGTCTGCAATTTTCCAAAGTATCTTTATAAAACTACTGGAATATCTGAAAAACACCTGTTGGGCTGAAGTGCAAGACCTTCAAAAACAGCAGGTGTGTTACAAAAGAAGTGTGTGAACAGCAAAAAAATACAAGGTTTCCAACTCAGAAACCACAGGAATCGGCATTAAAGACTCTCAAAGGTGTAGGATTACATCATTTTACCATCAGCTGTACCAATACAAATTAGCTGTTTGGAAGGAAGGTGCTTCAACACAAGTTTAATAAACACACCGCCATCCCAAACATCACACTGCTTCCTCACTGTAACAAAACTTTTAGTCAAGAATCTGTTTGATCTTAACTGAAGAGCACCCAAAGGATTTTAAACAATAGCACCAGAATGCTTTGTCTTTCTTGTTGATGATGGTTCTGTGTCATACCTCCCAGTCACAGCAAGTTGATGCACACACACTCCAAAACAGTAGCCCAGAAAAACTCTGAAATTCTCCTAAATCTGCATGTTCCCATACAAAGTGATACCTGATATTTCAGCCTATACAGTTCTTTATTTCTTTCCTTTCTTGGCTGAAGTCTTCTTTCCTGCTTTTTTAGCATTACTCCCATATTTTGCTTCCAGTTGGGCCAAAAAGTCATCCGTTTCCTTTTTTCGATCTTTATTTCTGCTCTGGGGGAGGAAAAAAAAAAAAAACAACAAAAAACCAACCCAAAACCAACCCAAAACCAACCCCAAAACTTTTATATTTCTCAACACAGATATTCTATTGCAGTTAGACAGCTACATAAAGTCTTGGAATGTATTAAACAGGGAATACAAGCTACAGAAAGTATAGTACTGTTAAGCAAAAGCCTACTTGTATACTCTAGGCTCTATACCCAACTTCCTAAAGTATCAAGACAGAGGTAAAGAGAGGCTATAAGAATTCATGATGTAAGGCTAGGAAAAGCAAAACAATTTCTAGTTTAGACCCAAAACTCTATCACAGTTTAAGGAATGATAAAGTATGAACATTCTAGGAAGCCCACTGGATGATAAGAAAGAAGAAACAGAAAACACTCTGAAAAACAGAACGTAAACAGTATGTTTCTTTCCTCAATCCCAAAGAAACAAAAGCAAAATAGTAAGACCTATCAAATTCTACATCCTCGTGGAATCCCTCAGAAAGAAAAAATCATTAACACTCCCTGTCTTACTGCCTAAAACAAGAAGTTAAATATTTTGTGTATGCAATAAGGATATTAGAATAACTTTGTACATTTTTAAAAGGACGCAGGTAATAAAATCCATACCATACACTGACTATTAAAGTACATAGATAGTTAACATTAAGGTCAGGTTTTAACCTCAGGAACCCAGAAGAGTTGCAAGGATCCAAAACACAAAGATGCTCAGGGACACCAGAATTATAAGCCAATAACATAATTATCTTTAACAGATTAAAAAAAGCCTTACTTCAATCAGTGCTTTCAAGTCATCTTCTCCACTAAGGCCCAGTTCGTCTTTAGTCTTTTCTGCCTCTCTAGCTTCTTTTTCTGCCTAAAATAGTAAACCACCTTTTTTAAAAGAAGTATTTTGCACATAATTTGACAAAGTCTTCTAGTAGTTACCACTTTTTTTTTTTTTTTTGCATCTGTATACAAACAGCTGCAAGGAAACACAGTTTCCAAGTTTGGCCACAAATGAGGAATCAAAGAAAGCCCATTCTGGTTCCACAATTTAGTAGAGCGGAACAGTTTTTTGCTTCTTCACCATGCTGAATGTGATGCCTGTCCCCCATCCCTGTTCCCCCCACGCACGCTTTTTTTGTCTTAACAGCTATTACATTTTCTTTAACTTAGAGAAAGGTTACTGTGATGTGCATATAACATATTCTACAAAGTGTCCAAAAAAACCCAGGTTGGAAAAGTAGTCCATTTAGTCCAGAATCTTATTTCACACTTGCCAAAAGGCAAGCATAATATATTTCTGCCATGTATACTTCTTAACTCCAGCAACTCATAGCTTTGTAAATAAATGCAGGGACATGGTTACCTGTAATAAACCACTGTGTATAACAATGATATAAAAGAAAGTAGTACTAGGCAACAGCCTATTACAACTCAACAGCCTTTCACAACAATTTCAGGGAGGACAGGGGTACAGAACACAGGTGACCAAATGTGAAAATCAGATACTGAGCAAGGTCTGTAACCCAGCAATCCTGTGGCAAACATTTGTCTCGGGAACAGTTTCATTTCTTTCTACCAAGGGAGATTAAAAACTTATCATAAATAATGCTTTCTGTGGTCTCTGATTGATAGAACCTACCCGCCTCTTTCTTGCGGTCATTTTCTGCTTAGACTCTTTTACAAAGCTCTTGTAGCGTGGAACTTCTCCAGACTCAATGGCTTTTTCTATGATTTTCCGTATTCTTGGCTCATCTGTATAGTCCGCACACAACACAGACTGCATTATACTGTCCATGTCACCCTCAAAATCCATATACGCTGCTTTGACATCGGCTACCTCTTCTTCTGAGCCTTTATAGTTCTTTTCAAAGTCTTCAATGTCTTTTACCGTGATCTGAAGCAAAGAGGTGACGCTTCTTGAGTTACACTTCATTCACCAGCAGGGTTTCAAAGACAGCATAACCCCCTCCCCCTCCAGTGTTCTACACAAAGCTCGTAAGGGAGGCACGGCGACAAGTCTGAAGCAGCAGGCTTCCCCTTCCCGTAGGGTTTGCCCCCGCCGAGGTGAGCCCTTTCCCAGACCGCGGCCCGGCTCTCACCTTCTTGAAGAGCAGCCGCCAGTACTCCTGCCAGTCCCACTCATCCCTCAGCGCCTCACCCTCCTCGTCCACCGTGCCCTGCTCATCGTACAGGGCGCGCTGCTCCTCGTCGCTCAGGACGGCGTACGCCTTGCCTAGGATCTGCAGCGACACGGGGACCGGCCGATCGGTCGGTCAGTCAGTCAGGAAGCGGGCCGGCCGGCCGGTCAGTCAGAGCGAGCCCGCCGCCACCCTCCCGCGCTCACCTGGAACCGCCGCGTCGCCTCCTCCTTGGCATCAGGCTCAACGCGGTCGGGGTGTACGCGGAGGGAGGCGCGGCGGTAGCCGCGGCGGATCTCCTCGGGCGAGGCCTCCCGGCGAACGCCCAGGACGCAGTAGAGGTCGGCGGAGCCGAAGGCGGCCTCGCACTGCTCCAGCAGCCCCATCCCGCCAACGCCGCGAC